CACTCAGGTCACCCAGAGATATCCAAAGGAAATCAGTATTGCCATGGAAAATCTTTTATACAGAACCACATCCCTGCTGTAAAGTGACAGGAACAATTCTCCCCGCTGAGTGATTTTCCTCCTGAGTGCAGAATGGAGCAGAGAGCAGAAACAGCTCATGAATCACAAAATCACAGAATAATTGGGGCTGCAAGGGATCTTTAAAGGTCAAACAACACCAAAGAAAAGAAACAGAAGGGTGGGTGAGGAAAGAGATGAAAACACAACAATGACACCTTCACCTTTGTTCCCGTCTTGTTGCAAACTTCAAAACAAAGCCTGAGGATGAAATTTTGTCTGGAGATTCCAACAGAAACCTCCTCCAGTCGACTTTTGGTGCTTTGAGGTTTTAAGTGCCTTGCAGGTAAAGTGGAGCCTGGAGTGCTGTGGGATGCACTCCAGTGATGGATTACCACTGCTGCAAGGTGCTTTCATTTCTCCCCACACACCTGAACTCAAAATGTTTCTTGTCTGTGACAATCAAGACATTTTACCAAAACAAAGGGAAGTTTACTTTAGTATTGATCCTCTGCATAGATTGTGCCTCAAACAGCTTCACAGAACTGAGATGAAATGTTGCTCAGAAAGAGAGTTATTAAATACCACAGGCTGAGGAAAGAAAAAAAAAAGATGTGTTTTAGATCTAAGACATTTTTCACAGAGCAGGAAGATTTGTCATATGGTAAACAGTAGAAACTGTGAATTGGGACACTTGTGATTTATCTCTGCTTCCACAGCCTTCCCATGTGACAGCAGTAAAAGAGTGACAATCCTTCCCATAACTTGCTCAAAATAAAGCACAATTCCAACGTGTTTAGGTGGGAGCTCGTTTTATTCAGCACACCACGCTGGATCCTTTCAGTACCTCAGCTCCACCAAATGTAAAACAGCACAAGCACCTGGCTGTGCCAGAAAAGCACTTCCACTAATGCCCTCTGAATGAAAAGGCATCAGTGTGAGGTATTAAATCCCCACCAGGACAGAGCTATGTGCAAGTCAGATGAGATAACAAGCCAGTAAATTTCAAATCACTGCTTGCATCCATCCCATAACTGCATGCTGAAATCCCTCCAGCTAGGCTGGCGTGTTGGCAGGAAAAAAATTGTCATTTCTAAATTTAGCAGACACCTCAATCATTGTGTGATGCTTCAAAAGCAATGGAGATGTAAAGTGGAATTTGTAGGACACCATTTAAACTGAAATGAGAGCTCCACTCACTGAGCAAAGGCTTTTCTTAATACCCTTCCTGTTTGGACAATTTGATCCACTCCTTTTTTTCTTCTACAACCACAAAGGTTTGTCCTGCAGTGAATGGATAGGCTTTTTTCTGGGATAACTTCCAGGTTAAAGAGAAAGGATTTACACTTGAATGAAACATAGGCACTGTATTTGGAAAATTTGTTTTGAAAACTTGGGAAGGAAGCAAAGCCTCCTTCATTTAAAAAGGGACTCAATTAACATTCTCCAACAAGTCTTCCTATCGAAAGGACAGTATTTGCTGGGGAACATGTGATCTGAAACCCGCTCTCCTCGCTCACAATGTTCCTTTCTGAAATACAGGGCACTGCTTTGGAGAGACACGAGGATCTTTGCAGAGCTTTCCAAAGGAACTGCCTGCCACAGGCCAGGCCTTCACTCCAGACATCAGATCTTCTGTGACTTAAGCTCAGGAAACTTAAAATAGTGCTTAACAACCCTAATGAAGACCTAGAGTGACACAATCCTCCTGTGGCTCCCTCTACAAGGACAGCTCATCCATGCTCAGCCACAAGGGTGGGATAAATCCACGGTGTCACTAACATCACCTCCTCATTGTCCTGATAAAACACACTTTTAAAACTTTCTGCAAAGAATACACTAGAGACCAACCAAGCAGGTGTTCTGCTTTTGATTCCTGCCTGTCTGGGTGTGGGTTTGATCTTCAGCAGGCAGGGGCAGACAGGACCACCCTAAAGGTTATCTTGGGTTTGAAAAACAATTTTGCGAGTGCTGGGCATGTCTAGAAATTGCCCACGCAGGAGGAAGAAAACAACCCATGCCATTATTTTTTTTCCAGATAAAGAGGGGAAAAAATGCTACTGACAGTTTAATATGCACTTTTATTTCTAAATTCCCTTATCAACTGCATATGACAGAGCCTTCTTCACTCTTTAATAAGTACAGGTTGAAGTCAAGCCCGACTCGAAGTTGATGACGGATTGAGTCCACATCAATACCTGGCAGATTTGGGTGGAGATAAAGGCAATATTGGTGTGTATAGCTACAGAAAACATGCTATCAACACATCCAACACTTTGGGGAGACCATCTGTAGCAGCCCACTCTCCTTCATTTCTCCTGGATGCCTCCAATTGCAGCAGAAGGGAAGAGTTACCTGCAGCTACCCCCCAGCAGTGCCTCAGAGGGGCTACGTAAGCAAAACAAGGACACAGGCTCTCTCCAGAGCCTCTTCCAGGAATTTGGCTGCTGAGATGTGAGCTACCCTTTGGGAAAAAATACTGGTTTTCCCTGCTGATCACACTTTTAGTACAGGCACCAGACCAGGTGTGGACAACCGTAAGAATTCTTCTGTATTCAATGACTATTCTTCAGTTCCTCCACCTGGGAGTTTGTCTACACCAAAATGGACCAAACACCCCACGCTGTCTTCCCGTCATCCAAAATAAAAGCAATTTAGGGTTCTGCTTTTAAATAACATTTTCCATGGGAAAATCAGCAGGCTTTAAATTCACAGTGCAGTGGAACAGTGTCCTCACACTTAACTAAGGTGCCAAGCACCCCACAAGTGCCTCACTCTTCACCCTTTGGTCACAAACACAGATGTCAGGACAGAGCAGCAGAGAATCCTCTGTGTACATCCCATTCAAACCAACCACGAGGTGCTCAGCACAGCTGGGGATGAGCTGCTCAGTGATAAACACACTTAATGGAGTTTACATTTGCTTAAGACACTTAAGAGATTAAGAGGTTGGCTCATGTCTGTCCTGCCTGGCTACAGGCAGATGCTGGACAGCACAAGGTGAAGATACTTCTCCTATGAGGTTAAGCAAGAAATGAATGAAAAGCTGTAGGCATCTCACATAGGATATAGGGCCAAAATTTGGGTTCAATTTGGGGTTTCTGTGAAAACACTCTACCAGTCCTAAGGGAATCCAGAAAAAAAAAGGAGAGGACACAGTTCACAGAGTCACCCTCCCATTACCTTGAGCTAAAGATCCCCTTGGCAGATGCATCTTTTGCACCCAGAATTGTCCCCTGCAGATCCCTTCTCCTGAGAATAGAACAGGTGGTGACAACTCATGAAATGAGCTCATACCCACATCTACAAGAATCTGACATAGGTTTCATTGCACCTTTGGAAAGAGGCAACCCACTCCAAGAGTTTAAAACTGGGTAACTCGAGTGACTGTATTTTTTCAGGGAAGAAAGGGAAGAGTATTTAATAATCTGGGTAACTGTAGTAACTGCCTTTTTTCAGGAAAGAAAGGGTAGAGGATTTAATATTCAAACAGCTTCTCCTCTCCATGTACATCACTGGAAGCTTTCTGATCCTGTCCACTGTGCATCTGCATGTGCTGGAAACAAGCTTTAGGACCAGGAATGTGCTGCAAAGTCCAGTATCACACAAACACACAGGATCCTTCTCTCTGTTCTGTCATGTTGGATTTAAAAACAGGTATTAAGTTATATCACACTTTTTATTAAAAAGAAGTTAGAAAGGGATTTAGCTACTAGAAAAACTGTGCTTTTGGAGGTGAAGTTGCCTGGCCAACATGGGTAAAGTCTGAAAGTGCTATAACACTGCTCTGGGACTCCAGCAGTGATGTAAATGCTGCAGACACACAGAGCCTCTGCCTCAGAAAGTTACTGGGACTGAAGTGATGGGGACACAGCCCCATATTTACACCCCTGCCCCTCTGTGCATCTTCTTGTGCCCATTTGTCACCGAGCCCATCTTCCCCTCCCTGCTCCAGAGCAGATTAAACTTAATATACTTATGCAGTTGTGAAGTGTCCTGCCTATTATCCAATTAGGCAGCTAACGAGATCTGAGTAACAGCACGTAGGCACTGATAGCTGCTGCCTGATAGCAGTACAGATTAGACACGTTCTTTATGTTCCCAGCCCTTGCAGAAAAAGGCTTGGGATTCGTTCAAAGGCTGCTCCGAAGGCTGGGTTCAGGTAATTGTTTAATTTTGTTTGGGATCCATAAACACATCACGTTTGTTTCCTCTTGATCTCCTGGAGCTGTCATGGCGCAACTGTCCCGTTACAGAACTCCTGATCAATCTGGTGTGACTTGTTCAGTTGAATTGTCAGCGTGGACAGGGGCAGGCCTCATCACCTCTGTGGTTCCTTCTAGCATCAGAAATCTAGGGAGCAATAAAGGATCTGTGCATCACCAGGAAAAAATGTACAGGACTGATAAGGAGATACAGAAATGCAAATGCTGTATTAGCTCTGATGCTGTTCCACATGACATTCCCATAAGATGCACCTAAGAAAACATTAATTAGATGTAATCAGCATAAAATGGCTGCATGACAACATCTTTCTCAGAGCACAATTATCAAGGGTTTGTTATCTAATTGGGAGGGCACTGGAAAGCGGGTCCAGCCAGGCGTAAGAGCTGTGTAATATTTTCATTACCAGTTGGGATGACAGACTGGAATGTATGGCCATAAACCCAAGAGATGATTCAGCTGGGAGGATTTGCAAGCACCAAGGTGTACAGATTTCAATTTCTAAATTACCTTCATGCACTGATCCAATATCAACATCAGGTAATTAAGAAAGAGAAGCCCCCACAAATACAAAAACAGGGAGCAACTCTATTCAGAAAGATTTCAGAAAAGGCTCTAAGAGGGTCAAAGCAAAATGGTGACACTCAACAATGCTCCACAGGTGCATGAAGGCAAAGCACAAGGGATGAGCCATGGAAAGCACTCAGCTGTGCCTTGCAAAGTCCTGCCCTGAGCTGCTCACTCACTGATGCTTTTGGGAACACCAGACCTGAGAGTACCTTGTGGAGAACAACAAAATTAAAAAACACCAGGTGTGAGATTTAGCTGGATCCATTTAAACCAGAGATCTTCCCAAGAACAGACTAGTGCAGGCAAGCAAGCAGGACACAGCCTGAGGGGAGACCTCTCCTTCCAAATCCAGCAAGAAAACTCAGAGTTTGGTTCCCTTGACTTGAACCCTCTGGTTTTAATCTCTGTTTTAAAACAAGATAACAGCCATCAATGTGGTGGAAAGAACAAGAGTCCGGGGCTTATCAACATAGAAAAACGGGGAGAAACTAACTGGATGGGTGAAACACACAGCTTTAACCTGACAGATAGGGATAAATGGGATATGGGGAAGAAATTCTTCCCTGTGAGGGTGGGGAGGCCCTGGCAGAGGATGTCCAGAGAAGCTGTGGCTGCCCCTGGATCCCTGGAAGTGTCCAAGGCCAGGCTGGACAGGGCTTGGAGCCACCTGGGATAATGGAAGGTGTCCCTGTCCATGGCAAGGGGTGGGACTGGATGATTTTGATGGTCCCTTCCAACCCAAACCATTCTGTGATTCCATGACTCTGTGGTTCAAATTTTCTTGCATCACTGAGCTGGAAAGGCAGCAGCCCACAGACTGGAACACCTGATGTGAGAAAGGAATGAAGGAACAGGGTTGTTGAACTTGGAGAAGAAATGGTGTTTAGTGGGGGATCCAGTTACTGTCTTTACTTAACTGAGGTTTACTGAGCAGATGGAGCCAGACTGGATGGCAGAAGCCAAAGAACAAGGAGCAATAGAAATTACTGACAGGAAGGGAAATACTGATCAGACAGGAGGAAAAGATTCCTCACCATGAGGGCACAAAACATCAACCTGCCACTCTTGAGCTAAAAAAAGTTCACGAGAAACCTACCTTTGATCCTGGCCCTGTCTGGAGCAGGAGGTCAGATGAGAGCTTCAAATCTCCTGTGCCACTTCACTTACTCTTCAGCTCTAAGAAATCTTTATCAAGGAACACTGGAAAAGGGATTTTGCCCAAGAGTCTACATCACTTTACACCTCTTCAGTGCTAGCAAGTACTTCAGACTCTAAAGCTGTCAATAAAATGCTTTCCACATGACTAAAGATCCCAGTGTCTGCAACTGACAGAGGAAAAAAAGGAAGGAATGAAACACCAGAGCTTTCACTGCAATTGGAAAGAGAAACTGGGGACTCACATTACACAAGTTATCATACAAAAACTCTGCAAGAACACTGAGGAATTCAAAGATACATACAGATAGCTCAAACAAAAAAAAAAATTTAAAAAAGCCAGACTGCTCCTCCCTACCTGCTCTTCCCACAGCAATAAACACAAGTTGATGCCAAAAGGTGTTTCAGACCTGTCCAGACCAGCCTTCATTTTGGTAAGAGCTTCTTCAGTTGTCTCAGGACAAAGGCCCTCTGTGTGCAGACAAACCTTTCACACACACATCCTACTCTCTCCCACTGAAAGGTATGATAGAGGCGTTAATAGATCCAGAGAAAATGCCTGGAACAACACATACAGGCAGGTTTGAGGTTTTTTCCCAAAAAAAAAAAAAAAAGTGAAAGTTTACCTTAGCAAATAATGCTTCTAGTGCTGGCTGATCTGTTTTCTGACATGTTTTATATTTGAGTGCTACCTCTCAGAATAATCTTCCCATCCACTTTTTACCAGCTTTAGAAATGCATGAATAGCTGAGTCCTTCAGGGGAACAAAGGGACAGCAGGTACAAAATCAGATGAACAGAGTGCAATCACGGCAGGGAGGGAGAAGGGAAGGTCACTCCTGAGCTACAGCTGGCAGGTCAGAGCAGGAAAGCACAATGGCTGAGCTGTAAGAGAGTTAATCATGGGGAAAGCCTTGGTCAGGGCAGCTGGCAAGGACTTCCTTCACCTCAGAACAGCCAGGAATTATTCTGGAACAGAGATCCAGAACACATCCCTGTGGAAAAGCAAGAAAAGCACGTGCTCTGTTCTTATAGTTGGTAAAGAGATAAAGCCATAAAAAAGCTTCCATGACAAAACACTTCACCAGTGCTTTGTCCAAAATTAACATGCATTAATCACACCCCAAAAGTCTACTTGAGAGTGACACAATGGTGTTTGCTGGCTCAGTCCATGCAGGTATCAGACACAGCTCTCCAGGGAAGCTTTGACACTGCAGCTCAAGGGAGACACGGCTCAGAGATTCCCAAAGGCAGCTCCAAGGACTGAACAGCTCACTCTGTACAGTAACAAAAGGGCAAGAGGGCAGCAATTCTCAACTGCTGCACAGAAATCAAAGTCAGAAACCAGGAAAATCTTGGTAATGGCAAGAACAATGAGAGGCTTTCTAGGATCACCCAGGGACAATGAGGAAAATCCATCACTGGAGGCTTTTAACAACTGCTTTGGACAAACATGTGCTGGGAAAGTTTGGATAGATCCGACTCAGCCTTGGGGCAGGAGGTCAGATTAGACAACTTAAGGTCCTTTCCTGCCCTGCAGCTCTTTGCTTGTAACAGAAATGTGACAACAGAACACCAACAGCCCCAAAGCACACAAGTCCCTCTAAAATTTCCATCATACATTGGAGACACACTGTAAGAGCCCATGTGCAGCAGCTGCCTGTTCCCACATGATTCCTTCTCCCTCCATTCCTGGAGGAGCAATACAGGGAGAACACAAAGAGCTGGACTCACAGAACAGGCATGGGAAGAGGGGCTCCCCAGCACAGCCCTCCCAACAACAAAGTCCCCCTCACATGGGACATCATCCCACAGCATGGGGACAGTTATCAACAGGAGCCCATCCCCACTGTCCCTCCCATTTGTCCCTTCCCATCTCACCCTGCAGTCTGAGCAGTTCTCTCTTTCTTCTCTTTAGACTCTTCTTCTGTTCCTCCCTGGAACATTTTCATGTGTAAGATCTTCAGGACTGGATCCCTGCCCACCACAGCCCTGGATCCCACCCCAAGGGAATCAGGGAACAAAAAAATTAATGACCCGGTGCCTCACTGCAAAACCCAGGGTCACAGCCCTTTGTGAAGTTCTCTCAAAGGCCAAACAGAGACACCAGATACCACTGTGACAATGGTATGAGCTCCCCACGACTAGAAAAGGACATTTAATTTAGTCTGCTGGGAGGACTTTATGCTCCTGCAAGCATTAATGAACGGCACGAAGCATCCCACGGGGTCAGAGCATGCAAGCAGCAGAGTAAAAACTCTGAAGTACCAATCTTTATCTCAGAGTTAAAGCTCGACCTATCAAAGCAGTTTTGACAATTTTTGCTTCCTTGTGTGCCCCCCTCCACAATCCTCTTGGCTCATTCTTGAAAATCCAAAGCAAACCTCCAAGCTCTGTCTATGGAACAAGGGAGGAAGGTGACAGAAGTGGTCCCAAGGAGAAATATTCACACATGTGAATGTTTTAGGAGCACATCCCAGCTATGACCACACGTGTGTGTTTGTCAGTACGCCCTGAGGGCACAGTTATGCAATCCCAGAAAACCTAGATCCCAGTTTGTACTGTCCTTAAAGGACAGCCCTGACTGTACGTGTAGTGCTGACAGCATCAGTCACGGGACAGGCCAGGGACTGGATCCAAATAAAAAATAACCCCATAAAATAACAATCTTCTGCCAGGGTGTGTGGGCTCCCTGACCAAGATCTCACACCCACAGTCAAACAGAACATGCACAGGAATAGGATGACTCCTTTTCCTAGAAGTAGAATCTTAGATCTGTGTAAGTGACCCGTCAGCCTGTGCTCTGACGGCTGGAAAAGAGTTATGCAAGAGAGGAAACAAGCAGTGGGAGACAGGACAGCTCAGAGAAAACATCTCAGGGCAGCTCCCCTCCTAAAGCCAGGCTCTTGCAAAACAACCCTGGTGCCAGCTTGCCAGGCTTTTCCAAAGACTCTGGGAGCTTCAGGAGTTCAACCAAAGGGTTACCAGGCACATCTTCCTGGCAGAGTCCGCTGGGATCACAACGGTGGCTGATTTCAAAAGAGAAAATCCTGTTAGAAGAAGACTGGAGATCAAAGCAGGAGGTTACATCTATATCCTGGAACATGCATCCCATGGGACAGGAGAATTTTTAATTCAGTTTCAGGCTAAATACTCATTCAATAGAAACAGGTGAGCATGCTTGCATATTGCACCTGTGCAACTTCTCTGGGAGAAAATCCATTCCCCACCTGCCCTGAAAAATTAATTTAACTGAACCAACTCTTATAAAGGAAAAGAAACTCCTCCTCTCCTATGCAATTCCCAGTTTAGGGATAGGCTAGGACTATCTGCTTCACCTAGCACAAAGCATTTTCTGCCTACATCAGCTAGAAGGGAGCTTGAGTGAGTACTTCACAACACAAATGATCCAAAACCAACGTGCTTTTTCTTCCTCCTTCTCAAAATGTGCCAACATCACCATATCCTGTCCAATATTTCAGTCATTCCTAGCATGCCAGCAGCCTACACTACTCCATGCCACTCAGATCATTCCAGAGAACACACGTGGGAAAATCTGGCATTATCAAGAATAATGAATGGTGAAGAAATGAATAACTAAGTATCCATTCTTCAACAGTTATCTACATCCATTTAGTTTTCTACATCATCAGCCAGGAAAACAAATATTTTCTTTATTTTTTAAAAGGTAGTTCCTGCCTTTGAACTCAGCAAGTACAGACGCACACACTAAAAGTGGAATTAAATGAACTTTTCAAGCCATTATAAAGGCCTTGAAAGACCTATTGGATAAAAGAAATGAAAGTTACCAAACCAAAAATTCCCTACAAGCTGAAATTGCCTGGGTTTACGTCAGTTCAGCTCTTTAGGGCCCTCCACAGCTGAGATTTCCTCATTCCTTTTCTGGCACTGATCTGTTCTGTGGCCCCCAGTGCTCCCTCCATCCTTCTACTCCAGGAAGTGAGGGAAACGTGGTCTCACAGCACGATGTGGAAAACTGCCCCAAAGAGGGAATATCCAACAACAGCCCTGTGTAAATCACTACCCTGGGGCTGCAAAATCTGCCTCCCTCAGGCCCAGCAAGCTGACAGCCACCACCACTTGGAATGAGAGAGCACCAACAATAAGTGCCTTGTTTAACTGAGACTTTAAAGCAGGGCCTGGTAGCAGAGAACTACCCGAGAATAGCTCAGGGATCAAACTCCAGCAGGAAAAGCAGGGAGGGGCTTTTTCACCCCTCTTGCATTACATTCCTGCTGCTGCTGAGCTCTTCACCTTCAGAGCAACCCAGGCCTCTCCCAGAGCCAAACCACTCCTGCTGCATCCTTACAATTTCCCTTCCATCCCATCCTTGCAACCTCACAGCCCTGGCTCCGACACATCACAAAACAAAAACTTCAAGCTGTCATTGAAAATAACACCAAAACTGCACTTAAAACCAAGGGCATGATTAAAAGACACCAAACACCACCACATTCAGTGCATTTAAAGATTTCCAGAGGAAAAGGTCACCGGAATATAGAGCACATCTCCCAGAGCAAATGTCCTTGTCACGCTGCTGCTGGGTTCAGACAGAAATACATTGTTATAAAAACCCTGTGTGCTGTGTTATCCACGGCTCAGGGCTGCTGAATCAATCACAGAATGGTCTGGGTTGGAAGAGAAATTAAAAATCATCTCATTCCCACCCCCTGCTATGGGCAGGGACACCTTCCACGATCCCAGGTTGCTCCAAGCGCTGTCCAACCTGGCCTTGGACATTTTCAGGGATGGGGCAACCACAGCTTCTGTGCCAGCGCTTTGTCACTGTCTGATTAAAGAATTCCTGCCTAATATCTAATCTAAAAATCCCCTCTGTCAGTGGGAAGCCATTCCCTCTTGTCCTGTCACTCCAGGCTCTTATCCAGAATCCCTCTCCAGCTCTGTTGGAGCCCCTTTAGGCATTGGAAGGTCATCCAAGGTATCCTAAAGCTTTCTCTTCTCCATGTGGACAGCTCTGCAGCCCTGCACTGTTCCTCCAGCCTGCAGCCCTATCCCAGGGCCCCTCAAGGGCATTGCTTCTCATGGAAACACAAAAACAGGACCTCAAACTGAGGTTCCTCCAAAGCCACTCTCCACACCAATGTGCTCCTCAGGTGCCACCCCGCGCCATGGAGTCGCCACACAGATTTATTTTCCAAATGGTTCATATTCCCACCCACAGTATTTCTGGAATCTTTTGTTAACACAGGAAGAAACCACTGAAATTTTAGATTATAAAAAGGGGAAAAAATAGGAAAGCTTTTCAACCAATTTCCACAGTGACTTCTATAAACTCAAGATTTATTACAGTGTATACACACCCACGTGCCCTCAACACGGAGCAAGGAATGCCCGGACTCAGCAAAGGCAATGCAGCAACACAGCCAATGAAAATGGGACACAAAATCAAGGTAGCTGAAAATGTTCATGCTCCCTCAACAGGAAGACAACAAAGATGACTGTAACAGAGTCTGGAAACACCATAAAGGTGGCTTTGAACTGTCACTTGTAAAACTCTTTGTGTCTCAGGATTCCATAATTTGATGAATTGGTTGCTTTGGGGGTTTTTTATGGTTATGCTTTTATTCCCTGTTCTCATGGTGGGTTACCACCTCTCTCTCACTTTACTGCTGTGCTTAGATCAGTTTTTGCATGCAAGCAGAGCAGGACAGATCCCTCAGCCACATCTTAAAGCCAGAGGCTTAGACTCTCCAGAGAAAGAAGAGTTCAAATCCATTCTTCACCCACATCATTTCTAAGAGGGGATCTTTACAGCTCTTTTATTTATTATTTACCACTCTAAGACAATGTTTTAGCTCACCAACAGAACTAAAAAAAAATCAGTTATTTAATTTCCATAGACTTGACTTCATTAACTTCTGGAGAGGACTAATGTTTGTGGCCAGTGGGAAAGGGTATTTCTACATTTTTCCATTTTCTGGTCTGTTAATTACAATTACTGAGAGAAGGAGACAGCGGTGAGATTTGTGAAACACAGCAGGCTGTATTTTTAATACTTTTGAAAAAAAAACAAGAGAAAATAATATCTCTTTGTTGTATAACCCAATCATACAAAGTAATTCCACATACTTCAGAAGACAGCATCACAATTTTCCTTGGACACTCACTTGGGCCAGCAGGAATTTAGTTGGAGAACCTGAGATTTGATTAGAAGGGATTATTCTTCAGTGAGATGGCAGGAACAGAAAACATGAAAGGATGGAAGTGGGGTTGAGAGGCAGGCAGACAGACTCCTGAGGCTGGTAATGAGATGCAGGAATACTCCTCCAAGCTTCTGAGGCAGAGATGGGCAGGGGTCCGATGGCTTTTGAGGATGGATGAGTGAGAAAAACCCAAATTACACTACTTGGCTAAGGTGGAGGGCAGTAAAAGCACCATCACACCTCTTGGAAGCTGTAGGGAGCCCAGAAACCATGTCTGCTGTTTGCAAACAATTTGACAGAGTTCTCCAAGCTCTACCTCAACCCCTCCAGTGCCACCAAGTCAACTGAGATTCCTCTATCCCAGAAAAGCACTGAGTTTCAGAGACACCACAGCTGACTCGTGACACTTTGATGGGAGAGACACAACAGGGAGAAAGCTCAAACCAGAGAGGGACAACCACGAGTGCCAGCAGCAGGGCTGAGGACACGGGAGCCCAGGACACGTGCAGAGTGTTTGTGGCGCTCCAGCGTTTCAGGGCAGCCTGGCACAAAGAGCAACAGCTCCAGAGCTGCTGTTCCACAGAGCCAAAGGATGGAGAGGGATAAATGACCACAAAACCCTGCATTTTTAGCATTTAAAAAGTTCTACATCCCCTTCCACACACGGCTTAGCCAAAATACCAGTTGGATGCTGCTCCAAACCCAAAGAAGTCCAGGTAAATGTTTGATCAGCCACACAGTGATTTGGATCCAGGCACTGAGTCAGACCCAAGCCTGATGGGTTTTTTGCCAGCTCAGTAGTCATCCAAACAGGCTCCCTAGTCCGGCTACCATTCCACAACAGTGGCACGGGAGGGAAAGGCAGTGCTGGTTTTTTTTTAGAGGCAAGGCCAGCTGAAACCACAGAGCTTGCTACTCCCTAAAAAACACGGTACATCTGTTCCACAGCAGAGCCACAAAAGATTAGTAAGTGCTGGCCTAACAATCTGGAAAGGGAAAAGGAGCTAGGAGCGCAAAATGTTATCACTAAGTCAATAAAACAACATCTGTAAAGGACTGAGAACATAACAGCATTCTTGCACAACACACAGAAATGCTCCTGGGCTGATTTCTTGGTCTCCACTAAACCTGTCTGGTAACTCTGGGAACAGAACTGCCTCGTACAGGCTACGGGAAAAGTGGATCAACAGGGTGAGCTAAGGACAGGGCTCTGGGCTCAACTTTGTTTGTGCAGGATCACATAGTGGACGTGTGTTAGGCGATATATATGGTTTCACTTTTATGTAAAGCTCGTGTTTACATCTAATGTATCAGGCAATTACAGC